AACAGTGACTAGCCAGCAAATGAAGGAATGCTTTTTGGACTTTTTCTCTGATGTTGAAAAGACAAAAGAAATTGACTGGGATGCTTGGTTTTATAGCGAGGGTGATGTCATTGTTAAGAATAATTTCGAAAACTCTTTGAGTGTTGCTGCAAATGAACTCTGTAAACGATGGGTCGAGGCAGGCGAGGAAGCATCCTCATTCTCCAAGAGTGATATTGCTGGATGGACCTCAACACAACTTTCTTACTTCTTGGATATTTTATTGGAGAACGAGAAACCTCTTAATATTCAAAAATTAGATGAAATTTATGATCTCTCAAAGTATACCAACAGTGAAATTAGAAATGGATGGCAATTACTCGCTCTCAAGCACAAATATTCTCCTATCAAGAGCCAAGTCGTTGATTTTATCACATCACAAGGAAGAATGAAATTCGTAAGACCACTCTATCGTGAATTGTTCAAATTCGACAAGGAGTTGGCAGTTTCTACTTTCCTAGAACACAAAAATTTCTATCATGCTGTGGCTAGAAAGATGATTGAGAAGGATTTACAATTGGATCGACCAAATGCAGCCGTCAAGCAATAAACTCTTGAGCGTTAATTCAAGAGCACTTCGACATTCGTAAACTTTGAATCGATGGTACCAAAAAGAGCTTCTAGAGAGTTGTCACTTTTCAAAAGTTGAGAAAAAAATGGGCCACAAAAACTCAAAGACATCCACAACCATCATCAAATCACAACAACAACAGGCTCGCAACCACAACAACAATCATTCAACCATTCTTCCAATCACATCCCCTTCCTCCTCAAAACCTCCTCTTCAAAATCCTTCTCCATCTTCCTCCGCAGCAAATTCTCATGAATTCTTACCACCAAGTTTATTTGCTTCCTATTTGAACACAACTTCGTCGTCATCGATCGTACAACAATTTCATACAAAGCTTTCCGAAGAGCAATGTCAGCTCATGATCAAGGGAGTGATTCAATCGTATTTTGGAATACCAAATATATTTCCAGTGTTTTCCGAGGAATTGTTTGAAAGCATTTGGGCCTTGCAGAATATTTTGGCAGCTGACAGCACTCGAAATTTAATGTTGGCCTACTCGGAAGAGCTGTATTGGGTCAATGGTGGCTCTATCAGCGGAAATGACACTCAAGAAGGATCACAAACGCCACTTTCTTCAGTGTCTCCACGACTTGCCAAAACTCACGATATATTTTCACCCATTTTCTACACGCGAGATCAATTATTGAAAAATTCTTCCTCGAATCGATCACACCATCATGATGGCTCTTTGTCCAAAACTTTGGAAACAAACTATTCGACAACGACTTTACAAAATTCTTTTACCTCTAATTCTCTACCAAATACTACTAACATGTCACGACTCAAACATTTAACCATCGAATGGAGCATCAAATTGATAAATCAAGAATCTATTGTGGTGGCTACTCATAGAATTCCATTGTGGATTGCAACTCTGCGTTTAAGAAGGTTATTTCAACAATGTAAACAAACCACATCGATTGATTCCAATGGAAATTGCAAAATATTATTTCCAGTGATTGAAATTTCAAATCAATTTGAAGCGAAAATGCTATTGAGTGTTCATGAAATGATTCCTTTAATTTTTGAATTAATTATCATGTATTTGAGTTGCCCAATGTTATTATTCAAATGGATGGACGAAACTGAACCTCATAATATTCGAGAATTATTCGATGATCATAATATCAGTACGATACAACTGTTCACATGTTGTGAAATGATTTCACAAAAAGTTTTTGCATTTCTCACGGACTTTTCGACCAATGTCGAAACTCAGAATACTGTCACAACACCTTTTGGAAAAGATCTAATTGAATATTTCTCACTTTTGAAACAATTGGGACAACACGGCATAGGATTAGAATGGAAGAATGCCTATCGATCCAT